ACGCTCCCAATTGAAATCTATATAGTCTCTCGTCACCCTGAGACTACAGAGAGCAGAAGGATTTACACACGACACGTAATGTCACATAAATGACATAATCGCTGACACACACCACCACATTCTGTGATCAAACTAGAAACATAAACTCACGGAAGGGTTTACAGGAAAGAGGGGGTCACGGGACACTGGGGGGGGGGGGTAATCCATCCTCTTGCTCTTAATACTGATGTACACACATGGTCATGGTGTTTTTCAATATGTTAGCAATTTAAGATTATTGACAGAAAACATGGGCATTTGAACATATGTACTTTTTGGACTGTATTTTGCAAAAAATACATTCTTTCAATATGTTTAACCTTTGTCAGCTTTGGTATTAACTGAATGACAGGTTGTGAAAACACACAATCTCTATTAACAGTTTGTTGCAAAGTCAACATATTTCTGTGGTTTCTTTATTTAAAAGAAAGCACATTTTGAAGGCAGGGATTTACAGTTTTGTTAATTAACTCATGCGCCAACTATTTTCTCAATTACTCGTTTGTTCTATGAAGTCTTAGAAAACAATGAAAATGTCCATCACAGTTTCTCAAAGTCCGAGAGGATGTCTTTAAATGTATAGAACATCAGTCCAAAAGACAAATACATTGAGTTTAATATGATCTAAGAGAATAGAAGTTTCTGATAAGCTCAAATGTCCATTCCGCTTTAAATGTAATACACCGCCTCAACTGAACAAGTGTGCACTTCGATAGAGCAGAAGTTCATGTGCCTACGGCCACACATGATATCTGCAGCAGAACGATAAGAGAGGGAGGGAAATGGGAGTCTGTCAGTCACGGTGACTTCTGTTTTTTCTCAAGATATTTCAACGTAAAAAAGGAAAATCATGGAGAATATTTACACTGAATCTGATCTGCAAACATCAAAGCCCTGCACTGTTAACTACTGTCCGTATCCACCATGTTTCTCATCAGTGACAACAGCTTAAGAAAAGAAAGAGTATTTACTGCAGGCTAGCAAGAAGCCACGGAGGACGTATTGAGCTGTGCTGCTGCTGCTGCCTGAGCCTGAGGGACTCCAGGAAACTGCTCATTGCCATCATCACAAAGTTACTCAGTGTCAACAAAGACCATTCATGTTGTTTTTGTAAAATGTAAATGGTTTTAGTGATTACAACGATATATTATAATTCTAAAAGAAATATGTCAAGTTTTCATTGGCCAAATAGATTTAATTTCTAAATGTAATAAACTGCAAGAATGTTTGTCCATTATCTAAATTGTTCTAATCTAGATTAACATTCTGTCTAGCAAAGAGTAAACTAATTGACCTATTTTTTAGCTTTACAAATGATTTATGATGAATATATTGTAAACCTCTTTAAATCCTTCTCCCAACATGCAGACACGTCTGATTATGTTAGAGGTAAACAAAGTCAAATCCAATCATTCTGTAATGATTATTTACATAGTGAAAACACACAGACAGTTACGCACGCACTTGCTCCTCTCTCTCACTCACTCACACACACACACACACACACACACACACACACACACACACACACACACACACACACACAACATTGAAAAGCATCCAATGGAAATACACACACACACACACACACACACACACACACACACACACACACACACACACACACACACACACAGAGAGGTTTAAGTAGGCCGGAGCTGCCCTATTATAAACCTGAGGACGAGAATAACGCAGCAGAGGCAGTGAAACTGACATTCACTCACTTCCTCTGTCTGTCTTTTCATTCAGAGAGGAAATAAGAGCAAAATGGTTTCATGACGCCTGATAGAACTACTCCTCTCCACAACATCCTACTACTAAGAAAACAAACACACACATTCTGACATAAACAACTAAATAAACCAGCGGCTGTGCACAGTCTGGAGGTCAGAGTGTTGGTGTTGCCAAGTAATGGGACACCTTGTCGTGGCAATGCCTCTGATGACCAGCTGCTCTGGACAACCGACATATCCAGGCTTAAAGTTCACTCTATTCGTGACTCTCCACGCTCTACCCTGTATGTCATGCAGCCTGCTACATCCTCAGTGAGAACAAACAAATCATCAAAAAAACGAAAACCACATGTCTTTTTCTGGCAAGGTCTCTGGCTCTCATAAGTGTTTCTAAGGAATACGTGACAACACACACGCATGCACACTCATTCACCCAAGTTTCTGAAAAATAGATCAAAAGTAGCAGAAGTTGTGATGACGCGCTGTCTGAACACCTACACATGTGTGTCATAATCCGGAGGTTCATACCAGAGAAAGCGTCGGTCTGTCTGCAGCTGAGTAGCTTCACAGCCAGTCTCGATAGTCCCCGTGCTCCCAGTGTCGCTGACAACCACGTTTGTTTCTCACTGCGGCTTGTTTCATAGAGTCCACAAGACAACCCGTGTCACCAATCCCAGCACAAACAGCCTGTTTCCTGCAGTCCAACAATAATCCAGTCCTGCCCGAGCCCTCCAATCCCAATTTCAATCCTGTGTTCGTCTGGTCCAGCCGCCCGGCTCCTTAATCCTCAGGCTCTCATTCCAGCAGAGGGGAGAGGAGGGGAGCAGGCCTGCAGCTAAATGAGGATGAGGACAAGTGTGTTTGGGAGTGCGTGTGTGTGTGTGTGAGAGAAAGGGGGGAAAACCCTTGAACTCTCATCGCTCTCCCCCCCTCCCATCTTGACTCCTCCCTCTGATGAAGTCAAAAGGGTGCAAAAAAATACATACAAAAAGATATGATATATATAGTTCATTTTTTAAATAAATATAAATAATAATTAGAAAATTCTCATAAATAATTTGAAAAAAATATGAAAGAAAAGTTATTATGCGCCAAATATTTTTCAAAATAAAATAAATATATTTAACGAGTGAATGCGGAAACAATATAAAAATTCTTAGATTATTCTTTTTAATGGAGACTCCTCAATCCCTCCCTCACTGAGCAGAGCATCAAAGAGTCTCTGCACTGGTGTCCCACCCAGAGGAAACGGACGTGGGGAGGTGCAGTTGTGCGTCTTTGAAACACTGTTCACTCAAAAAATGAGGATTGGAATATATGATTTGCATCTCCTACTCACCATAAACAAGAAATAACCGATCTATGTTCTGGCAGGATTGAATCGTTCTTAAATCCTTAATTCTCTACTTTACTTCTGGAATAGATCACACACACATACGTCAACAACAGCTCCCTCACTGGGTTGTCTCTTTGTTTCCGCCACAGGATTGCAGCTGACCCAGGGCTCAAGGCAAATCAGTTATGACTAGAAAGCTAACTGTGTGTTTACTGTTCACAAGGCAATACTTGTCCATTTCAGTGTTCAGTTCACAAGGCCATAATTGTGCATTTCAAGGTTTCCCGGCCCCGAGGATAACCAGATCAAGAGTTATGCGGTTATGGTAAACTCCCTAGTGACGGATCGCATTCACACAGCCAGAAAGAAATCCAGGGTAAAGAACAGGAGAGAACAAACTGTGCCTTGACACAGAAAGAGAAACACGTCCCTGAAACACAGAGGGAGTGACGCTAAATATGACAACTTGAACTGCTCTCCAAGGGTGGTGAAGTGTATTACAGTTACTAACAAAAATTGATAATATTAATGCCTGAAAATAAATCCATACTGCTGGTAACTCTGATCCTTATTTAACAGCAGCTACCAACCTGACGATACAATGTATGT